ATTCTTATTATTTTCTTTTTTGTTTTTTTCATTTTTGTTTTTTATCTTCATCCTTTATTCTCAGAATAAAAAGAAAAAGTACAAAGATACAGATGGTACGTGAGAAAATCTATGAAAAATCTTTCAAGACACCTCCCCCTCCCTCTACGCAAACATTCGAATTCCATTCTACGACTGAGTTACGCATGGAATTTACTTGGATTGTTGTCTCGCAACAAGACAAAATATTCTTTTTACTAAAAATATATTATATCGTATGATCAGTACTCTTTCAGGATTTTCCTCCTCCCTTCAACGAAGACATTCTTTAAAAAAAAATTCAACAAGTTGAAAAAGTTATTACGATCCATGTTAATAATAAAGAAAACACATATATTATTGATGATATTGTTAAAAATAAAGCAACGTTTGCTTTCATAGTTTTGCAACTAACTACCGCCGATCGAACGTACAACCCAGGTGAGTCTTATTTTCGTGGGATTCCGCACCTCTTGGTAAGACAACGTGTGTAAGGTGTACGCACACGGAACTACGTAGTTACCGGCTATATAGTTGTCTCTTCGTGGGTACTGATTAAGCCGCTTGGAGGAGCAACGGCCAGCAACAACGGCAAAAGCAATGGTTGGCTACAGTAACTTGCAACAGCAACTGCAACTGCTGCAACAGCAGCAGCAGCAGCAGGAGCAGCAGCCAACGGCAGCAGCCAGCAGCTACCGCGGGCTCTGATGTATGCGAGCGATACAGATATCTCCGGGAAGGAATTTGCGTTGAATTAGCGTATAATCGGCGGGCCGATCTGCTCATACGGAATCCCGCCGCCCCGCTTACACGTGTCCCAAGAGCTGTATTCTCTGCGCGAACACAATATTTAGTGGCCGTCGTCTACCGTCCTCCTTGGCAAACCTTCTCTCTCTCTCTCTCTCACTCTCTCTCTTTCTCTTTCCCTTTCTCTTGTTCTTTCTTTCTCAGCAAGAAGACCTTCTTCTCTTTCCTTGAATCCCGTGGGATCTTCTTGCCGGTTGGTATGCAAGATGTAACCCCATGAACGTGCTGCTTTTGCTGCTGCTGCTTCTGCTGTTGCTGTTGTGCTCTTCGTCGCCAAAATTTTTCCTAACCGATCGTAATTTCTTTGTTTTTAACTTCTGACACGAGTTAACGATCAATTTTCAGCTTTAGTACTTTGGGTTTATCGTAGTAGATTTTATGGAGACTGTTTTTATTCTTTTTTTGAGGCTATGTTTAATCTTGGTGTACGTTGGAGACACGTTTACGTGGGTTGTATAATATATTTGTTTCATTTTTATTTATTTATTTTTTATATTTATATTAAATGGATGAAACGAGGCGAATTTGGAAAATTATATAAAAAAAATGTTCTTCTATTATATCTGTATTTTTATCAAATGCCGATAATTGAACGAATATAAATTACGATCTGGTGTTTCATTAAATGTCAGATACAACTTTTGATTAATTTCTCATAGTGTATTGCATATAATTTTGATAATTATAAATAAAATTAATTAATCTATGAATAAATTTGATAAATTTAAGTTAAACTTGATCTAATTAAGCATGCAATTATTTGACAATTTTGGACATCTTTCAAATAATTGTAATACTCGATAAACCTAAATGAATTGAATGTATACATTTACATGAATAAGATTCAATTTAAATTTAAATGTAACTAATTCTAACTTTTTTATTTATCTTAAATATTTTGTTCATCAATTGCAGTTTCTTCTTTTTAAACTTGATTTAATAATCTTTAACGAGCTTACATATGCCTGTTTATCTTTTAGATGCTATAAGCGTGTTAACGTGTTTTGCATTACCAAGCACACAGTGCCGTGTATATACATGATCTAGTTTGAAATTGAATTAATTAGTATAATTAGACAAGGTTATGGAACCATGTTTTCAAACGTATCGTACAAAAGAAAACTTTTCAACTAGTTAGTTAATGCTTTTCGTATATTTTTTTAAAGTATAGAATTATATTTTCCTTTTTAATTATTGTGCTGTTCTTTTTTTATCAAAGACTTAGAATTTTTACATCTTTATTGTTAAAAATAGACTAATAATTTTATTTAAAAAAAGTTTTTGTGATATCATGAGTTAAATATATTTTTTTTAAGTACTTCATATCTATTTTTTATTTATTTAATTAATTAGATAGTTTATTGTTAATTATTTAATATATATATGAAGTTTATTGTAGTTATCAAAATCCTGTTAAATAACCACCTAAATCAGTTATGAATTATAGTTATTTTTTCTTTTTTTTAGAAGCCAAAAATAACTAACGGTCACTTGACCCAACAATCCCTAATATTTGGTACTGATCATCTTAATAAAAAAAAAAAATCAAATATCGCATTATAGTTTAAATAAATTTATTGCCTTCCAACCTGATGATTTTACTTTTTTGTCATTGATTGTCAATCAATGCAACGCCTGTGTGAAACTCCGTAAAAGAAAAAGGGTTGAGTACCGGTGACCTAAATTATCAGATTTAACATTTCAATGTTTTTTTTTTTATGTAAAAGATAAGGTACACCTTATCAATATTAAGAAATTAATTCAAACAACACTCGAAATCTTACAAAATGTACAAACAAGTATGACAACAAAATACTGATTATTGTGCATAGAAAAAATTTTTAGTGCAATAACTGAAATAAAAATATCAATGAAGTTAATTTAAAAATAATTTCGACTGATATCGAATAATTTGGTATTCATTGTAATCAACATGTCCCCAAGTAAGATTCCACAGTCAGTGTCTTAGGTGGATTCCCTTAACTCGTTGGGCCAATCTCATTCGCTGTAAAGATCGTAGACGTTAAGGAAGAGGTCTGAGGTATATATATACATACATAAATAAACCCATACATTGATACAAACCAAACATACATACATACATGCATATTTACACAACACAACTAACAGGATCCACGATTTCTCGTGGGCTACTCGCGGTGGGTCGTCCCGATCCCAACAAGCGATTCGATCTTACCAAACTCGATTCCGGGAAATCCAATGTGTGGGTGGAAAATAAAAAACAAAAGTAAAAAAAAAAAAGGATTTAAGAGGAAGAGGAAGAAGAAGAAGAAGAAGAAGAAGAAATTGAAGAAGAAGAAGTAGAAGTGTAAGGATGATGTCTGAAATCTCCGGTCACGTGTACATCGTTTGCTTGTTGGTGGTGTTTTGCGTTAGACGATGACGACAACGACAACGACAACGACAACCGACGAAGACGATGACGACTACGACAACGACAACGACGACGACAACGAGAAGGGCTGACGACGGCCGACGGGCGTCAAGATGTCAGATCTATCGGCGCGTGCTCGTTGGCGCGTGTCTTTGCCTCTTGATCAGAGACTCCATCTTTTCTTTTCTTTTATTTCTATCTTATGTTTCTCTTTTCTTTTTTTCTTTTTTTTACATTTGTTTTCTTTTCTTGTCGCCCTCCCCCCTCCCCCCGCCCAATGTCTTTTTCTATTTACCTCCCTGGCATGCATCGCAATTGTACGACGTGACACGTAGGTATAGACACGCATGTGTATTGTACATACGTTGAGAAGTATAGATAATCCTTTATGCTTATGAAATTCTAATAATTTGCATATGTCAAAGTTCAAAGATCTATTAGGGGAATATCAAAGTGTGCTTTTTTAAGTCTTTATAAATTTATGTTATTTTATAACTCGAATTTGTGTATTCAGTTGTCTCGAAAGTTCATTCTGATTTATTCAAATAAATCCTTTTTATTTAATTGTTCATTTATATTTTTATACAGCGAGTATTAGGAATACAGTATTCAATCGTATTGTAAATTTGAAATAATTTATATTTGTTTGTTTGTTATATTTATAGTTGTTGTTTAAATTTAATTTTATATATAATTTTAAATATATATATATAAAGTTATGAAAAAATAAAATAACGGCCAATGTGTGTGTTCCAGCTATCACACAAATGTTGTGTGAGCGGCCATTCAAGTGTTAAAAGAAAATTTTTATTAAAAAGTCAAGTTTTTAGGTCAAATTTTGTAAAAATGACGCAACATTGTATAAAAAAAATCGACTTTTCGACGAAAAAAAATGTAACGTATTGTTAATAAAAAATTTAACGTTGTATTCAAGAAACGATTTTTCTCCTTGTTTTTCATAATGATTTTTTGCTGATTATTTAACGACGATTTATTAATCAATTATCTAAAAAAAAAAAAAAATACACATTTTTTAGGAAGAAAACGATTTTAATGATTTGAATATAAATATTCAACTCGTACGTAATCGTATCAGCAAAACATGAATTGCATTAATTGATTTTTTCTTAAGTGCATTTTTGGCATGTATGTGTTACCTCGCGATGACAAAACTGCTTGTACAAGATCACAGATGTATTATGCCACGCTACAGTAGCATTCTTGTATTGAATAAGATATATCTCGCGTGCTCCATCATTAAATTAAGAACTTTAATTCGGAGAAGCGGTAATTTTGGTAAAAGTATAAAATAAAGCAAAGCTTTGATTTAAGGATATTTCAAATTTATTATTTCTCTCTATGGTACAATTTGAAGCAGAGAATTGTACTTAACGCGACATTATTATGAAAAAATTTATTATATTATATAATAATATATAAATTGATACCTTTCGATAATAATGCAATATAAGTACAATTCAATTAGACCTCTAATCAATATACTTCTTACTACTATTACAATAAATCTCATGTATCTAATAATTATTGTTTAACGAAGTTTAACAGGGGGAAAGGAAAAAAATCAAGGCATTTTAAAGAAAAAACTAACGTCAGTTTTATACCACTAATAATAAGGCAACTAGTGACCTTATATAATAAATGTTATGTAAATTAATATTTATATACATGAATAAATAAAATAATAAAATACAACTTTTTGTCCCATTCCCTCTACTCGTGTTATAGGAATCCTTAACACCTGGATAAAGTACGATCTTGAGTTTCCTTAAATAGGCTCACTGTTTCTTCACTTCTTCCTAGTCTCTATTAAGATATAAAAGATATAAGAAGTCGCTGCAGAGTAGCAATTTTATAAATGAACAATTCTTAAAAGAGAAGATTTAGCAGTATTTTTAAACCATTTACTCATTTTATAATTTTTAATTTTTCTAATTAAACATGTGGTATATTACTGAAGTTATGGCKTTAACAGCATTTGTAATTATATTATTCTACGTTATTAAATATTTAAAAAATAAATTTCGGGAAATTAATATGGTRAAAMATTGTTCTGGACCTAAAGCTTATCCTTTGATCGGAAATGCATCTATGTTTCTCGGTGATTTGAAAGGTACATTTTTATTTCATATTAATAACATATACACTTATGTTATTTCTATTAAATACATTTGTCTATTAGATATATCTTATACAWTAAAGAAATCACTTGAAACATATTCATCGCCTTGTCGATTTTGGATAGGCCCAAAATTAGTCTTAATGTTTGATGATCCCGAAGATATTAARGTAAGATTCATATGAATTAATATCACTCTATGCAATTTTCTTTCAATTGTTGTATTTTATTTTTGTCAAAATATGTTTATTTTTTTTTTTAGATTATATCAGACAATCCGTATGATTTTCAAAAGAGTCAGTTATATGACTTTATGAAATCTTATATGGGAAATGGGTTGATTACTGCGCAAGGTAAACAATAAGTTAAGGTTTTCTTATTTTTTAATTACTAAATATGAATAACAAATTAAAGTAGCAAATATTATCTTATTTGAAGCGACAWTATGGAACATTCATCGAAAGATGTTAGGTCCAGTATTCAAACGAAACATGTTATCAACCTATGTGGCCGGAATAATTAAAAATTCAAATACACTAGCAACTATTTTAGAAGCTTATAATGGCGAAAACATARATATCGAGAAAAATCTAATGCTGTGTACACTTAATATAATATATGGTAAGATGTGAGACTTTTAAAAAGCTTGAAAAACCGTCGTATTAAAATTGATTAAAAATTGATTTTGTTTGTTTGTATTGACAGAAAGCATATTTGGTTGTGACTTAGATTTGCAAAACAAACAGGAATTAAAATTTACTGAATACATTAATGAGTAATAACAAAGAAAATATTTATATACTTATAATATAATACAATATTATTTTATATTTATTTACTTTTACATTTTTCTTTATTATTAGGGGGGTCGACATAGTTACGGAAAGGATGATGAAAATCTGGTTACATCCAGATTTTCTATTTAACAATTCGTTTCAGGGAAAGCGATTGAAGGAGCTTTTATCAGTTGTTGATAATATCACATACGAGGTACATTAAGAATGATTATTCTCATTATAATTTTCTTATTTTATTAATACATAAATAACTTTTATTTGTGAAGATTATAAGAAAAAAAAAGAAGGAATCAACGAAAGAAGGTAAAATTCTTCAAGAATCAAAAGATCTAGATGAAAGTAAGGATAACAATTTTATAAAACATTCTAATGCTTATAAATTTATAAATAGTATATTTTTATAACAATACTAAGAAGTAYATTATATTCTCTTGATAATAAAGATAAAAACAGAAGTTCATTTTTTGACGTGCTGTTAACATCACTATACAAGGGTGGAGAATATTCCGAAGCAGATATTCGGGATGAAATAAATACATTTACTGTGGCAGTAAGTTATATTTATTTAGGATAAGATAAGATTTATTTTTATTCATGAAAGGTAAAAGACATTTTATATTTTATTTTTTAGGGAAGTGAAACTAGTGCTAATGTACTATCATTCTTATTTTTAATGCTGGCAACATTTCCGAAAATTCAAGTACGTACAGATGAAAAATTACTTAATTAAAAATGACTTTATTTTTGTCCTTTTCTTTTAAAAATTGAAAATAGTTTTACACAAAATTTATGTCACGTATCATGCTGGCATTTTTGATTGCAGAATCAAGCATATAAAGAATTATACGATATGTATGGTTCAAGTGATAATCCTATTACATTTGAAGATACTAAGAAAATGGAATATTTGGAGCGAGTAATCAAAGAAACTTTAAGATTATTTCCATCTGGTCCATTTATTGGACGAACTGCATGTAGAGATACGAAAGGTATATTATTAATCATAATAAAATATTTTTAATATTTTTATTCTTTTCCATTGACATTACTGTTTTATGTAAGAATAATGTGTAATTATTTATCGTTTAAAGTTAACGAGAAACTGGTAATACCGAAAAATACCTCTGTCKTTATTTCAATATTTGGTCTTCATCGGAAAGAGAAATATTGGAAGAATCCTTTAACATTTAATCCRGATCGATTYTTGCCAGGAAACTATGAGAAAAGATATTTCATGCCATTTAGCCGAGGGATTAGAAACTGCATAGGTAATAGCATATACTTATCTATTCTTGAAATAATATTCTAATGAATTGTTAAGTTACATACATGTTTATGGAATAATGCTTTTTTAGGACAAGATTTTGCTATGCACGAAATGAAGATAATTGCTGCTACAGTATTAAGAAAATTTACTGTTCACACAGACTATGCAGTACCAGTTGAAGATATTAACGTTAAATTTGGCGTAACTTTGCAGCCAGCAGAACCTATAATATTGCGATTTTGTAAAAGATAATATTATTCATTATTTTCCAATAAAACAATTTTAATAATTACCTGTACAAATAAAATAGTATATTTTGCATCTAGTGCGAAGTTGTAGATTGTCCACGAATGAGCGCACGAGCGAAGCTAGTAAACCCCAGAATAGTGAGAATAGAATCGTTTTATTTCCGAATAAAACGATCGTACCGCTAAGTTCCATACCGTTACTCTCGTGAACGTCTAAAGCAACATCTAACAAAAAAAAAAAAAAAAAAAG